CGGTGTTTGGAGAAGCTCCGTTTATTCCGTGCTTGCACAGCCAGATTCTCCTGGGGACCTGAGCCGGGTTTTGTGGGGCCCGGCAGACGGACGGGTGTGGTCCCTGGGGGAGAAGCTCTCTTTGAATTGTGTCACCATCCCCACAAGACGTGCCTGATCACCCCATTCTACCGATTGGAAAACTGAGGCTCCGACAGGTGAGAAGATTGGCTCGCCCCCGAAAGGCTCCACAGCCCCGAAGCCACTCCAGACCCGGCACAATTTTCCTCTCCTCATTAGGGCAGCGCGGGCTTCGCCTCTGCCTGGGACCAGGGCGGCAGGATGTCTGGGTCCCGTGTGGGCCGAGGCGGGGGAAGGCCTGTTGAGCCCGGCTCCCCTGGGAGCTGCAGAGTCCCAGCCTCCTCCCCAGAAAGACACACCTCACACACCTCCGGGGCCTCCCCAAGGACCCCGGGTCGAGAAGATCTGGCCTGAGCAAGTGGGGGTGGCTGTGGATGAGACACAGCCCCCACCCCCAGCTGCTGGACAAGAGGCGTGAGCCCCTCCTGTGATGGCCCCTCTGCCCCGCCCTCCCCTGCCTCCGCTCACCCAGCCGGGCTCCCTGCTGGGTGCTCCTCGCAGAGAACAGAGGGGGTACCACAGGCCACGACGGGCCCCACGGTCAGCCCATCGCAGCGACGGAGGCTGAGGGGCAGGTGGCCGGGGTGGAGCCGGGCCCGGCAGCTGGTTCCGGTCTGGGGGGGACTTACAAGGGCAGAGCCACGGGCACTGTCGTTAGGATGGGGATCCGCGCCTCAGCCCTGCTCCTCGGCAGCCTCCCGCCCGAGCCCCCGTTCTCTGCTGTGAGACGGGAGTGGGGTCCCCGAGGGGTTCAGGGTGAGGAGGGCCCCCTGGGGGGGCACTCGGGCTCCCCGGTGTTGAAGGGCATCACTTTCCATATGAAGCGCTGGCAGTGCTCCAGGGCGTTGCACATCTGGGCGGCCTCCTGGCTGGCGCACCAGAAGCTGGGGCCCAGGACGCACTGGTCGGTGCCCAGCAGCGGGGCCCGGGGGGCGTGGCAGGCGCCCACCTTGGCGCACAGGGCGGTGGGGTCCATCATCTCCGAGAGCGTGGCGAAGAGCACGGGCTCGTACTCGTCCACGAAGCGGTTGCACTGGATCATGTAGGGCAGCGGCAGGATGTGGCAGCCGCCCTTGAAGGCCTGCAGGATGCCGCGCTTGGTGCTCTTGCACGGGACCCTGGTCACGAACTGCACCAGGGAGGGGCTGTAGGCGTCCACCATGGTGACGCACTGCTGGACGATGGACGCGGGCATCACGGAGCACACGCGCTCCAGCGCCTGGCTGATGAGGACCTCGGTGCTGTTGGAGTCCAGCCACTGGTCCATCTCCTGGATCACCTGCAGGCACACCTCGCAGGTCAGGCCGGCCTGCATCTGCAGCTCCGTCCTCTTCCCCGCAGGCAGCGGCTCCAGCGGGGGGACCATGAGCTCGGCGGGCACCTGCCCCTCCTCGCAGAAGCCGCCCTTCTCGCAGGTCTCCTCGGGCAGGACCAGCTTCAGCATGTGCTCCCCGGGGCCGAGGAACCGCAGGATGTAGTCCCTGCAGATGAGAGCCAGGTCGGGCCCCAGGGACTTGCACTGCTCCCGCGTGACCACGTCGGCCAGCGCGGACACGTTGGAGCCCACTTCGTCCTGGAGCCGGGTGACCAGCCGGACACAGTCCTGGCACACGGGGTCCTCGGGGATCGGCGGGAGGTGGAAGCTGAGTGGCCCGTGGGCCATGAACGGGGCCACCAGCTTGGACGTGTCCTCCTCGGAGAGTGGCCCTGGGGTGGCCGGGAGGC